AAGTTATGACGCTGGATGATTACTTGTCTACGTTATAATAGATAATAAATAATAAATATTAAATATTAAATAATAAATAATAAACAATACATAATAAATAATAAATATTAAATAAGTAATAAATGATTAATAATTAATAAAACTAATACTACTACTAATAATGACAATAATAATAAAACAATAACAACAACAACAAAAATAAAATTTTAACAATTTTTTTATTATTTTTTTAAAGATATTGAAAAAAAATGTTGCTTATAAAGCGCTTACCATCTCTTTTTGGTATTCGTAGAGGTCGTTTGGGGGGCTGTAATTTGACCCCCTCAATCCAATCTGAATGACCCTCTTCGGATCCAGACACCCCTCTTCCGCTGCCCGACGGAAAGGGGTACCGTGAGTGACCTTCTCCCCTAACATAGTGTCGGCGACATCATCGTGGGCATCTATGTGAACGAGACCGACCGGACCATACTTCTCCTATGAAATGGGAATTTATTAGAGATCAAAATAAAGATGATAATAAAAGCAACAAAATACAATAATAATACCAATGAAAATAATGATGATAATGATGATAATAATGATAGCAATACTAAGAATGATAATATTAATAATAATAATGATAAACTAATAATAATAATATTAACTAAAATATGATTCATAATGGTCAGTTACGCTGTAACTGGTAAAGCGCTTTATAAGAAATGGTTATTATAATCATTATAGAATATTAAAGTAAAATACAGAGTACCAGTACAAAAATGAAATAGAGACTAATAAAACTAGAACGTAAATGCGTTCTGCTAAAGGTAGAAACTTTTTGTTGCTACGTACTGATGCAGCTAGGATTTGAGGTGGATAAAACCAAACTTTTATGACCGAATGTAATTAGTTAAAAGAGAAAAGAGGAGAATGAGAGGGGGAAATGAAGGGAGAGAAACAAAAAGAAGAGGAGCGAAGATATTTCAAACACGTATTGTGGCCTATATGACAGGCGGAACAAGCCATAAACATGACAATGTTACGATATATGCGATATCCGAATATCTGGTATCCGTCATAGTTGAATAAACAACATGTCTACCATAACAAACCAGTCTTTGACTCTCTATTATCCTGAGTTATCTACCATTACCAAGACCCTCAAACTCATCATGGCCGGTGGCAGCGGTGGGATCTTTGAAATCAAGTTTGATTTTTGATAGCACATCATGATCCAGTTCACGACAGTTAGGAAGTATAATTACTAAGACCCTCAAACTCATCACTATACAACCATACATCCATCAAATGAATGTATGGTTTTAACCAATCAGAACGCAGGAAACCATACAACCATACATCTATGTAGCCATCCAACTATAGAACACATGTATATATATAGAGTTGTAAAGTTTGATTGTTTAAAACCGTACATCCATTCGAAGGATGTATAGTTGTCATGTTTAGGGCACGTTCCGCCTGTCATAGACGTACACTGAACAAAACCATAAACAGAACAGTATCTATACCTTAATTGCTTGAAGGATGGGGTATGTAAGAGTGTGGTCCCCTCCTAGAGTCAGGGGCTTGCATCCATTAGCAACGATGGCGGCATACTGCTCTCGAATCATCTCGCAAGATTTCTTCAGGTCGTAGAGGTTAAGGGTCACGTCCCCGATGTCGGCGACCTGAAGCGACTCAAATGGTGCAGCACCTGGAGACAAGGATTAATGACAAATCATTATGCAAAGCTTAATTTGATTTCCCCATTCCTGCTTTCACCTGGCAAGTTTTTGAAAGTCAATCAAAAAGAGTAGGCCCTAAATGATTTGATTATTTTAAAGGCCATCTGTACTAGTTTATAGGAGGGATAAGACCACCCTGCAAAGTCACTGGACAGATGGTTATTTCATCAACTCAGCTCTCAATTAACGAAAAAGAGGATCATGGGAGACCAATGGTCACCAATTATAGAGGGAGCAAGTATAGCTACAAGTAGTAAAGTGGGTCTTTAAATTAATTTTCATGGAGCATACATGTATAAACACATTTCACCTGTATAATTGCATGGTCCAAGAACGAATGACTCATAGCGGATCTGCCGAGGACCAAGTCTGGTACCAGACCGGTAGGACGTCCCAATATCCAGAGGCACTCCAACATAACAGGCATCTAGACCTACACGTATAACATATAGAAAAAGTATAGTTTGTAGTGTACAAAATGTCCAAAGGGAGCAATTCAAATCAAGTCACTCATTTTCCCAATCCAATATTAAACTGTTTGATGCTCTTACATGTATGTTTTTTAAATATTGTTTTTCATGTTTATGTTCTCATGTTCTACATGTATGTTTTATGTATTCTTCGACCAATGTCTAATTTTTTATAATAATAATGTTAAAAAAAACCCAAATACACAAACTAGGTGAACACACCCTAACAAGCCAAAAACCTGGCTTTTGTTGTGTTAACCATTTCCAATTATCCACTTATGTTTTTAATGTAGTATGTACCTTGTTTCTCTTTGATTGCTATACTTGTTTTGTTTTGTTTTCTTCTTATAATCGTTTGATTGAAATGTCATAGTTTTATAATGTTTTTATTGCCCATTGACTGTTTTGTGCACATTCTTTTTAATTGATGTTGGAATTTGGAAATAAATGATTTGATTTGATTTGATTTTAACAATAAAGTCATGAATATAAGAGAATCAATGTACAAAGAAATTGTAGTAACTATTCAAAATCCAGTAAGTAAATACAATACATGTATGTATATCATTTTCTGCATAACCTGAATGATATACATGTATTAACAAAATGAGAATGATATCATATAAATAAAAGATATGTTACAATGGCACGATGAATTATATACATTAAATGAAGAAACAGAAATCATACAGGCATATTAAACAAAATTTCCATTGATTAATTGATAAAGTTGTAGCCATTTCTTTGAGAAAAACTGAAATAACTTATACACAGTCTACTATAATACTGAGAAGCCTATTTGTACTATATATAGACGAAATATGATAGATCTGAATGCAAATAAGATATACAAAGGTTAGATATTGACATCAGTTCTAAACTAAATACAAAGGCACGATTCAGACTCAGATATCATGTCAACTGGACTTTGCACTTTTAAACATCTATGCAAGCTCTTACTAAAGTGAAGGTTTTACTTTAGATTCATGACATGGCATGGCCTAAAGTCTACTAGTACAAGTTCAATTGCTTTGCAAATCACAAAACAAGACAATGTGACTGTCTATGCAGATCTAGGGATTAGTAGGGACTACACTAGACAGCAATAACCATCTGATTTGGGTCATTTCTTTAATAAAACTGACATTTGTTGTCATAATCGGAGGTCTAGTGGAGCCAGACGTAGTCTCAGTGGAACAACCGACGATTAGAGAGACTGAAGCTTTCGGTCTAGGACTACACTAGCTATATACATGAATCATGATAATGCAGATTTAACTGATTCAGCGGATGTAAATGACTGCTTTTTTTGTAATCTTAGCTTGCCACTGATAATAATAATATTCACCTATAGTATCTGTTTGATGAGGTAGTCTCATCATTGTGCTAATTCCTCCAACTCGCGGGAACTTTGCTCCACTGAGGGGCTCATTCAGCTGTCGTCTGCTACTGCTACTGCTAGCGAAACTTCTCCGAGTTGTCCGCCGAACTGCCGGGTGAGCTTGGCGGACAAACGACAACCTCTTCAACGATTCCCTCAGGATGAAAACTCCGAACATTTCAACTTTCACACTGGCGCTTCTAAAGCATATCGATGACATAATTGGCGTATCTCTTCGGTGAAACAAGTAATCAGGATGAGGTCATTCAGGCACGCAGTTTAGTGATATTGAAGGCAAAATTAGTCTACGTCTACTCTAGATATCCTCAGGCTCAGCTCAATCAATGTACGACATGAAGTGGCGCTATTGTAGCGCACATATCTCTTGTGGTGAGCTGAGCGAGTCAGGCACGTACGTACGTACGCGAGCAAGTGTAGCTCATAGTATCTCTATGGTGTAGCTATACTAAATGTGCATGCATATAAATTATGACCATAAGTAGACGTGGTCGCGTCGGTCAGGTGCTGTATAGTCACGTGAACAATAACAATGCAATGACTATTGACATCTTTTTTTGGTCGGCCCCTCATGCAGGCTCAGGCCTCATGGGGCATGGAAGAAAAACAAACATGTGATATAATACAAAGATGAATGGTAATATATGTTTATATTTACAGAAGAAAGAGAGAGAGAGAGAGAGAGAGAAACAAAAGAAAGGGAGAGAAAAAAGAGACGTGAGAGAGAGAGAGAGAGAGACAAAATCTCCCGGGTATAATTATCTAGCTCAAGCTATTCTATTTCTATGGTTGCGGTTCTCACACAATTTCAAGCACTCTTAACACAGAGGCAGCCCAGCAGATATGTTGTCAGATTAATACCCACTGGCTAACTAACCAGGTAGCAAGTTCCACATAAATTACATGCAAATTAGAAGAAAGAAATTAATATTCATATAGTCACATGCATGTAATAACTTAATGCATGTATAAATAAACATCACAACGTACCTTAAATATTCAAACATAAACAAAAGGTATATTGACTATTCATAGTAGATGTATATTATACTTTAAGCTTGACTGCATCTGGTGAACATTGAAACCAATCAGAGAGAGAGAGAGAGAGAGAGATGAAAGGATGGTGGATGAAAAGGGTGAATGAGTGATGACCTATTTATTAGTATAAAAGGGATGAATCATGGATAATTATGAAGGGGAGTTTAAAAAGTTCAAAATAAATCCCTACGAACTAGTCTTCCTCTCACAAATAAAATGTCCTCATTTTAAAATGCATTTTCTTTTCTTTGATTACCTAAACACATGAAACATTAAAAATCTATCGAAATGATAATCCTATCCTTTCCTTTTGTAAATAGAAAAATCACTATCAATTTGTATCTTCTTTTTTCTTTTAAAGGCATTGGTTAACAATGTAAAATCACCTCAAATCCAATTAATTTGTATTGAATCCTCTCGCTAAATATCAAATTAACGATGTCTGAAAATATGAGAGAAAATCGAACTCGTTCACTATCCAAAAAAAGAGAAAATAGATGAGGTTTCAAAAATAAAATTCATTGCGAAAGATCGAAAGATCGTGAATCAAAAGCCTAAAGTGACCGACGCCATCATGCGTTTATCACGAGACAGTTACGTTCGTATATTCATTTCTCGCCAAAAGTCCGCTCTAAAATCGCCCAACGATTTGGAGTAGTATCTTGCTGAAGTTTTCGGCTAACCTGCGTTGCATGACATTTATGATCGATTCATGTACTGTACTGAGCCAGAGATCGAGATTGACTGAGCTAGCTACGCCATCATCGCCTGTAAAACATTGAGATTTGGGTCGGCCGGCGCTAATTCCTAAAAAACAAAGGGGGAAATATCCGCACTACATAATTATCCAGGACTGGTTCGGTCGGCCGTACATTGGATATTTCTTTGGGGATCTAGTGTCTCACTAGACTCTGGGTAAATGAACTGTTAGCTGCTACTTTTCATCGTGTCTGACTCTGAGCTGTTACTGAGCTGTGACTGAGTGAGTTGTGCTGAAATCCTGTTTGACTGTGCTGTGCATGCTGTGGTTGGCCTGCCCTGGCCGCGCCGGGCTGCGAGCCGAGCTGGCTGGCCTGGGGCTGTGTACGAATTATTCGTTCTTGGGTAGGTAGCGGTAGGCGTTATAACTTTACTTATTCTACCCGAAAGGGTAAAAATAAATTAATGTGAAATAGTATCCGCAACATATGAGCAAATTTATATAAAAATAGATCCAACCAATTTCATAGCCCCAATTTCAAACAAGCTAACCGTTAGTTACTGGCGTAAAAAAAAACGTAGGGTCTACAGTCTAGAGTCTAATATAAAATAAATTGGCAGCAGTAAATGTGTGTAATTGTCATTGACATTGACATTGACTGTGACCAATACATATGTGACAGAAGTGAATTTAAAAAAAAAAAGCACAAAAGAAATTGCACAAAATTTGATTAACAAATTAGGGTCTAGACTAAACCAATTTAATTTAACGGCCTGTACAGGTGGCCCTGACCACCGGGTAGATGGAAGGGTATAGAAGTCTACTGATAATCCTGCGTGAATGGAGGGGGTTCTGTGATTAATATTAATTGAGCCTTGAGGCGTCCATTAAGGGTTTGTGATAAAATGTCACATTCCTGACATTCTGGGGAACTTGCTACAGCTCTAGTCACATTAATTTTTGTTAAATATTTTAAAATTTGGAGAGAAAAAAACCGGAGGGGGGGGGGGGGATGAAAATTTTCTGTTCAGGTTCGATAAATTATCGATAAATGTGGAATTACATAATAGATTTCAGGGCAACAAATAAAGGCGCTATACCAGAGCAGTGAATTATTTAATTTAACCTTTCTATAAAATGATGCTGAACATAAGACAATAGTTTTGCTTACAAATATTTTTGCGATTTGGGACAAGGTGGGGAAATCGCATATAAGCTTACATGTAATTTCTCAATTTTTGTAATGTTTTCATTACTATAAATAGCCATCATATTGGAATGGAAATTGTGAGGTCTGACTTGCGAAATTTCCAAAAATAACCACTAATGCAGTACTAGACTATGTCATGTGATCGTAATCCCTACATTACGACGAAAATTAATGACTTAAAATCACTTCCGAAAATCGGACCTAAAAGGGGTTGGTTAATGCGGTGAATTTGTGGTTAAATTTTAGTGTCACCTCTCCCGCCCCCCATTTAAAATGTTCGAGTTATGCTGTGTTTCATGCATCACGTTTGGTGAAGAACTATTACTTCTCCTGAAAAAGGCAGATTCCTGGATTTTACTTGTCCTGTCACGAACCATAATGTATAAAATTACTAGCAGGGAGCAACATTTTAGGGATAATCATTTTATATCATGTATTGAATTGACTTTTCATTTTGTTTTGCCTACAGACAAAATTATCAGTACCGGTACTATCCTCTGGATTGTCCGAGAATGGTGATGTCAACATGTTGTAAAAGTAAGCAAATTTCTTCATATGTACATGTATGAACCTTTTTTATTTGAAGACAAACACAAAATAAAAATAAAAATATATGGACTATGGGGACAGTAAAGGGTGTCATCAGGCTGAAAAATAGTCGCATGGACATCAGATGGGGGGGGGGGGGGTGGGGAAGGGGATGATTTTTTTTTTTTTTAAATATTTAAAGTCTCCTTATTTAGGGGGGGGGGGGGGATATCCTCCTTTTTGTGTGTGTGTGCTTTCTTTACCGGTATGTCGATGTAACCATGCTAGGTAGGGGTGGGAGGGGTTGGGGGAAGATGTCAATCTATTTCACAAACATATTCCGATTGATGCCCATGCTAAGTTGATTCAGATTTACATTTACATCTTTGCCATGAAGGATCTCATTTCTTCTGTGACCTGCTGGGTGTATCTGCTTATTGATTATGAATGAATATCCTGATTACAGTGATACGACACTTGCTCCGCCGACAATTGATCCGGGCTTTATTTCTTCTAAGCTATAGGGTTAGGGTTAGGGTTTCAATGTTAGGTTTAGTGTTAGGATTTAGGTTTTGTAAAGTGTCGAGTCCATGGTTGAAGTTCATCATTCAATTAGTGTATCATGGAATTTATAGGGAGCAACTGTTGCCGAAGCAAATGTCATGGAATCCCAGATAAGGTTGCTACACAGAGTTTTTCATTTTTCATTCATTCATTTTTTGCTGCTTCATTTTCTTTTTATACAGCACATCCTTGCCATCAAAGGTGTTGTTCCTGATTGTGGATAGATCAGGAGGTGATGATCAGGATAGGAATGGAAGTGCTAAGTCATATCAAGGATTTACGCCAAACATATTGGAATTCCTGTTTTTTCTTCTTTTGATTGGTTTTTGGGAAGTGGCCATAGCCCCCATTTTGTAAAAAATAATAATAATGATAACAATAATTTACTTTTATAAAGCGCTATACCAAGTATTAACCTGCTCAAAGCGCTTCACAATGTAATATTAGCCTGTTCATAAGATTAAATTCCATGGCAATGCTAACATTACCCATTAACACCTGGGTGCGGTGAAGCAATTGAAGATGAAATTGCCAAAAGACATAAGTTTGCATCCCCAGTCAAGTGATATGACCACTAGATAATCATTTTGATGAACCATCTTCCGAAACTGCTTTTCATTTAAATACTCTAGGGCCAACAGAGTGTTTTTCAAAGTGGAGGGGCCCAAGTGCTAAAAATTAATGTGAGCCTATTTTGTTTTTGGTCAATATCTGACTGGCCGATAGTGCTCTCAGTAGGGGGGGGGGGGGGGTAGGCGTGGAATCAGGTTGGCAGAAAGAGCTCTCAGTGAGGGTGGGGGATATGCGTTAAAACAAATTCAGCCCCAAAAATTGTATCAAAATAATTTCGAGGTAAAAAAAATGGGCAGGGATAGGGGTACAATGACTCCCGTCTTCCCTACAAAAGATATGATTTTTTTTCGGGGGGGGGGGGGGGGGGGAGGGGCCGACAGTGAATTTTGGTCGTTTTAGGCACTTTTTTTTATGAATTTTATAAAAATCTATACTTTGACATTAGCAAGTCGTGCTACTTCATAATAATTCTATTATACTTGTTTTTAATGAATATACATACATTGCAACAGAAAATATCTTGTTTGTGTTTCTTTTTTTTAAGATTGGGAAGCTGGAAAGAAGGAGACAAACGAACGTGGAGGAAGAGATGTTTTAGAGAGTACAAATAAGGAGGGGAGAATTATGAGAGCAGAAAAACATGAAATAGGAAGGAAATTAATAAGAAGAGAGATTGCAAAAGAGGAGAATGTATGACATGAAAGATAGAGAAATGGGAAGGGGGCACCATTTATACTCAAAAAAGAGAAAGAAGAAAAGATAGAATTGCCTGAAAGCAGAAAATATAAGAGAGGAAAGAAAATGATGAGAGGAGAGATCGCACAAGGGGACCAAAATGCATGAAAATAAAGATGGAGGGGGCACCACTCGTACCGAAATAAATGAGAGAATTGCTTGGGAGCGGAAGGAAAAGAATGAGAGGAGAGGTCATAAAATTGTATTGAAGTATATGCACATAGAGGAGAGAGAGAGGGAAATGTGTTAGGGGACCATTTATTCCCCAATAAGCGAAAGAAAGAGGGAGGATGGAGAACAGTAATGAGAGATGAAGGAAAAGTATATCACAAGAGAGGAGGCATATGCATGTAAATGAAACGTAGAGAGGTGGGAGGTTGCGGTGGCTTGGAGAATCCTGGAATGTTTCACGAAAGTAGAGAATCGTGTTGCATAATAATACAAGAGCATAGACGTCTGAAACGGTGGGGGCGTCTAAGAAATCAATGAGCCCCACTATATTTTTAGTGTGGTTCAGATATTATCGAGACCCCCCCCCCCCCTCCCCCAAATATTTTGGTGGGGTTCGGATGATATCAACCCCTCCCCTTCTCCTCCTTATATATTTAAACAGGGGTCACAATTCAGGTCTCTATAGAAAAATACACCTCCTCCCCCCCCCCCCAAAAAAAAAAATCAGCTCGCGCTCGCACGACTAGGCCCTTTTAGTTTGAAAATTTGATTATGGGAACAGGGGTTGGGGTTGAGCTCCCCTGCTATATTGGGTGGAGGAGGGATGAAGAGGAGGAGGTGGCTCAGACATTGAGCATCCACATCTTGGTTCAAGGGGCTTCATTTTAACCCCCAGTATTTTGGTGGGGGTTTCAGATATCTTTGAGCCTGGCCTCCTTATAATTTTAGTGTGGCGCAGATATTATTGGCCTCCAGATATATTTTATTTTTCTGCTGGGGAGGGGAGGGGGGGGGGGCGCTTAGATATTATTGAGCGCCCTCATTTTTTTTTTGAGGGGGGGATCTTGAGGGCTCGGATATCATTGAGCCTTCTACGTCCCTCCTGCCAATATGTTTTAACAAAAGTCACATTACAGGTCTCTCTGTCTCGAGGGAAAAAACAACAGCTCTTATTGCCTCGCTTCAGAGGATTAATTCACAATCAAATGTTTGTTTGCTACAATCAATTCCTATTAATTTTCTGATGTCTCAATATAGTATCTCTTCTTTCTTTTCCGGTTTTGTTACGTTTCAAAATAACTCTACAAAAAATACAAAATGCTATTGTAAGAAATAAATTTGCCTGGCAGTCGTTTTCTATTTTCTGATAATGAATGTTTGGTAGGATTCCCGCAACACAAGGCTAAAATTGAATATCTCAGACCAGTTTATATCAGTATTGAATTTACTTTCCCAATATAAACAACATGTGTTGGTTGAAGAATTTCTTGAGGGAAACAATTTGGCCCTTTTAGTTTGAAAAATTGGTTCATAGAAACTATGGGCTGGAGGTCAAGCCGCCTATTATCTTGCATGGGGGGGGGGGGAGCTGAGATAATCAACCCCCAGTATTTTGGGTGGGGTTCAGATATCACATGAGCCGCTATGTATTTTGAGAGTGGCTAAGATGTTATTGACCCCCAGTTTTTTTTGTGTGTGTGTTTTTTGTTGGGGGGGGGGGGGTTCAGATGTTATTGAGCCTCCCTTTATAATTTGGTAGGGCCTGGATGTTATTGAGCCCCCGTCCCTGTATCTTTTAACACTTGGTCATGTTTCAGGTCAGCTTTATCGAGAACAAAAGAATTCACCTATAGCGCTGCGCGCTGGCATGATTATTTGACGACAGTGTGTGCTTTGTAGAAATATGCTTGATATAGAAGAAGGGGACTAGGGGGCTAAGAACCCCCTCCCCTCCCCCTAGGCATAGCGATATTGAGCACCCAAAATACTGCATGTGCATATTTTTGTTTTGGGCTTGAAATTGCCAGTCTATATAGCTACGTTTTGCGCAAATGCCCCTTTGCGGTTTCTTTATCTAAAAAAGAAATTACTTGCTCTTCACGCTCGCATTTTCATAAAAGCCTTACAAGCGCTTCGCGCTCGCGCCGCAAGATGAATTGAGTACATAGGGGAATAGAAATTTTAAAATGGTTGATAAGTTCATGCCAAACTAGAATGTCAGTGGGCGCTTGTAGCTTCAATCAATAGAAAGACGCGTGGGCCAAGCGGCACCCCCCCCCAAAAAAAAGTTTTTTAATACATGTGGCGGTTTCAGAATAGGAAGCCAGCTAGCCGGAGAGAAGAGAGAGAGAGAGAGAGAGAGAGAGAAAGACAAGAAGAAAAACAAGTCTGTGCAATGCTCTAAATGAGGAAAATATAGCCCCCGCCCCCCCCCCCCAAAAAAAATAATAGAGACTTTATCACGGAACTTTCAAAATGTTGCCAAAGGGTGTAAAAGAAACTTATCATGGAAATTTCCAATGGATGGGGGGGGGGGGGGGTTAATTGACAATTTTCCTTAAATATTTTGTAGAAAGAAAAAAAATGCCCCCCCCCCCCCTCCCCCGCAGTCGTGTAAATCTTCCGAAGCCTATAAGAGTGAGTGAATGGCTCCACCAAACCATGGAAGGTAAAATAGTAATTGCATTTTATGATAGAGAGACTGTCATGGATATTTCCAAATTTTTGTCAACGGGTTTTATTGACGATAAGGCCATGTAAAATTGATTTCATGTTGATCGTCCCCGCCCGCTTCCTTTTTGGGGGCCGCCTCCTATTTTTTGTTATTTGTTATTTTTTTTTTTTTTTTTTTTTTTTTTTGATTTTTTTTTTTTTGATTTTTTTTTTTTTTTGAAAGAAAAAAAAACATGAAAAACACTGCTAAAATGGCTCTATTTCTGATTTAAAAAAAAAAAAAAATTGTCGGCGGCCATCTTGAAAAAAAATAGCCTCGACTGTCAGGGAAAATGTACCGAGCGGCCATTTTGAGCGGCCATTATGAAATATCAAATATCAAATAACATGGTACACCCTCCTCCTCTTTTTCAAAAAATCCGGACGATCAACATGTAATCAATTTTACATGGCCTAACATCTGTAATTCCTGCATGTCACTTCTTTATTTTATTGTTGGTCGGAATTCACCAAAGTTCTTCGCGATTCGGACGTAGCAGACGACGTGTGTGACGTTTGCAAGAGCTTGGCTACTCGCGGTTACCATTGCTATTTTGCGTATTTTTGGACAGAAGATCTTCTAAATCGTCATGGTTTTGCCTCGCTTCTGACCAAAGCTCACATAATGATGATTTGCAGAAATTTGGCAATCATGTACTATAATAAATACCATGAGCTCAGAAACATTGGTAGGCAAGATAACGTATTGTTTTTTGCCCATTTTCTTTTATTTTGTCCATTTGCAAATGTAGTTTTTAAAACTTTTTCTAAATTTGTCTGCTTAAATATGAATTAAAATAGTTTAATCGACTATATTCCAGAAGAATTCGTGACCACAATTGTGAAGATTCATGCAGAAACAACGAAGCAATCGCGGTTTCCATTTACAGTACACCCTTTCTGCCTCATAATGCAGGGACGTTTCGGGCACGTAAAATAGGCACATAGTAGATACATGTAGTAGCTCCTTGCAAAACTGGAAGAGAGAGAGAGAGAGAGGGTGAGGAGAGAGAGAGAGAGAGAGGAGAGATGTACTGTACATAAAGAAGTTGACATGTACCAGACCATGGAGGCAAGGTGGTATACACAGACAGTCACTCCTCTCGTGTCTGCATATCGGCCGTACAATGAGTGTGGCCAGATACACAATCACACACAAAAAATAGATTCTCAGTACACGCAAAGCAAGTTCAGAACTGATCTGCAGCTCGTTTACATAAATAGCTAGTCTTGATTATTGTGCGTATAGTATTCGTCGCATGTACTGTCAGACTCATGTTATGGTTTTATACAGTCCTATAATTGCTGTATAAATTTACGCATACCTTTTTTATATCCCCTTTTTCTTATTTGGCTGTGCTTCGATGTTGTAATTACCCATTGCTATAGATACACCGAGTTACTTATAGGCCTACCACTTTGTGCTTTCAGAATTTCGTGAAGAGAGATCAAAGTATTTGCCAAACTCGAAAGCAAACGCCTGTAAGATCGAGACTAATCCCAGGGCACTTTGAACGGGTAGCATCGAGCATCCCCCTCCCCCCCCCCCCCCCCCCCCCCCCCCTCGCCAACAACAACCGGCTTTCGAAAGGATTTATGGACATGAATCCCGTGCATACGTCACAGCACGTCTAACTATAAATCATAACTCTTACCTTACCGTATACCCGGACCCTAAACGTATAATGGCTTGTGACGTAGGGACGGGATCTACGCCCATAAAGTGCTACCCCTCTCGAAATGCCGATCAGGCGCGCAAGTGTAAATGATTTCCTTTATAACCGACATTTGAAAAAAAAAAAAAAAAAAATAAATAAATAAATAAAAGGTATGTTCATGTCAAGTCCATAACAGAAAGGTTGTTTTATGCCGATTATACCCTTGTCCATATAACGACCTTATGGAGGAAGAAGTACATAATTTCATCCATGCCCCAATTTATTTAGCAGTTTTCAAGAATTAACACAAATTAAGATTGTATTTCTGTCTCAATTTTTTGGCTATCAGATGCTCTGTCGACTGTGCCTTTTCCATAGTTTTATTTCTTTACGTAACCATAGGCCTATTCAAAAAGTTTGCGTTGATGGCTAGCTAGGCCACACTTATAACTTCCCGTCTTTTGTTTTTCGTCGAGCTCTGGGCCCTAAATAGGATTAGGCCTACGTACGTAACGGTAAAAACAAAAGAAGCTCAAGTTCACCTGAGCGTTCTCCACGCACATAGAGAGTATTGTGGTGATAAGTGTGCACGTTTTGTCTTGATCTCCCCTTGTTTACAATTGCCTATTACAAACGTATTAGTACGAATATAACAAAAACAATAACACATCAACATTTGTAAACAAATCTCGACATGGATTATTCCAGCTCAGACGAGGAAGAATATAATTTTCAGCGGTACTACCTGGATGACATGGATGACGTCTCATTTCATGCCTCGCCTCAAGTATCATCTCATGTAGCGTCGGTAAGTATTTTGTACATGGTTAGTGTTTTATTTATCAACTTTTAATCTGTGTAATTAAACAAATATGTTACTAATGAACATGCTCATCATTGCTAATTAATCTTTATATTTATCTAAAACAAATGCATTACTTGCAAATGAAAATTAATTAATAAATACATTGTAATTCAAAATAAATTACATAAAACATGATCTGCACACAAGCAGATAATATGCAAATTAACTGGTTTCAATTGGATCCAGTTGGGTAACTGGAAATATTTTCCAATTGGAACCAGTTGGATAACTGGAAATGACTTCTAACTGGAACCAATTGGGTAACTGGAAATGAATTCCAACTGGAACCAGTTGGGTAACTGGAAATGACTTCTAACTGGAACCAGTTGGGTAACTGGAAATGAGTTCTAACTGGAAATGAATTCTAACTGGAACCAATTGGGTAACTGGAAATGAATTCTAACTGGAACCAGTTGGGTAACTGGAAATGAATGCTATAACTGGAACCAGTTGGGTAACTGGAAATCAATTCTAACTGGAACCAATTGGGTAACTGGAAATGAATTCCAACTGGAACCAGTTGGGTAACTGGAAATGACTTCTAATTGGAACCAGTTGGGTAACTGGAAATGAGTTCTAACTGGAAATGAATTCTAACTGGAACCAATTTGGTAACTGGAAATGAATTCCAACTGGAACCAGTTGGGTAACTGGAAATGACTTCTAACTGGAACCAGTTGGGTAACTGGAAATGAGTTCTAACTGGAAATGAATTCTAACTGGAACCAATTGGGTAACTGGAAATGAATTCTAACTGTAACCAGTTGGGTAACTGGAAATGAATGCTAACTGGAACCAGTTGGGTAACTGGAAATCAATTCTAACTGGAACCAATTGGGTAACTGGAAATGAATTCCAACTGGAACCAGTTGGGTAACTGGAAATGACTTCTAATTGGAACCAGTTGGGTAACTGGAAATGAGTTCTAACTGGAAATGAATTCTAACTGGAACCAATTGGGTAACTGGAAATGAATTCCAACTGGAACCAGTTGGGTAACTGGAAATGACTTCTAACTGGAACCAATTGGGTAACTGGGAACTAATTCTAACTGAAACCAGTTGGGTAACTGGAAATGACTTCTAACTGGAAATGAATGCTAACTGGAACCAGTTGGGTAACTGGAAATGACTTCTAACTGGAACCAATTGAGTAACTGGAAAAATTATCTTACTGGTTCCAGTTGCACTTCTTATTGGTTTGAACTGGAAATGAGTACCCATATTAATATTTTCCAGTTCGGCAATTTGTTTCAACTGGAAATTTTCTATTCCAATTGAAACCAATTGAAACCAGTTGGAGATTCCAACTGGTTTCAATTGGATTTTGGTCCTGGGTACCATCATAAAAAGAATTTGTTGGTTGATTTACAAATCAAAGGAGATTTTGAGAGAGAAAAAAATTAAATACATGTGTGGAAGAGAGAAAGAGAGAGAGGGAGTTTAAAAAAAAAAAGTAATGCACTAGTGTATTACTTGTAAGCTAAATGGCCGAGTTATCATGAAAAAACAAGAGTTTCCAGTGACGTTTATATTCAATTTAAAGTAATTAAGTTTCAATTATTATGTAATTCTTTTCTTAGAATAAGGTTTACCCAAATTTAGGTTGTTTTTTTTTCTTCTAACGTGTCCCACAATCAATAATTAGCAGGGCTTAAATTAATCCAAGGCCATCCAAGGCCAGGCCTTGGATGCCCCTTTGATTGGCCTCAATGCCCCTCTCATTGGCCTTGGAGATTTTGTGTGCCCTTTCCAATTCTTCCTATTTGTGCTGTACTATAGGAATGTGCCCTACAGAAAAGTGGCCTTGCCCTAAAAATATTGAAATTTAAGGCCTGAATTAGTAAGGGCCTATTTAAAATCTATGAAATAAGCAAAGTGCGACCCGGCCTGGCCAATCTGCGACTGCAACTGACGTTGGTTTGACGTCATTGTAAAAGTTCTTGTAAAAAGGGGTCTAATGATTGGTATATTTTCCTAGTTCACTGGACAAGACACTGTGTGAACGTAATATAACCCACATATACCCACCCCAAAATCACGTATAGGCCTACTATAGGGAGCATAATAAAAAAATCGTGTACATGATGGAGCCGACAAGATGCTCTATCCATGTGTCACCATTATTATCATAATTGATTGAACAAGAGACGGTGAGAAATAAGTTAAAATAAAAACCAACTTGTTCTTTATTGATCACCAGGATTCCCGTTTATGATTAATTTTTCTCATTTGGAGGGGGGATCCTCATATAAAATAATCTTTTATTTACCTACAGCAACTTAAAAAAACAACCTAATAAGGTAATTTTGTGAGCTGTTGTTTCAAGCAAAAAAAAACAAACAACAAAACAAACTATCTAGATGATATGGTATATTTTTCTTTATCTTATTATTATTATTTATGTTTTGCCTCCCCCACAGGTTGAAGAAGAAGATATACCAGGACCATTGGGTCTGCAGGAGCAACTCCAGACCAAGCGAAAGACAGGAGGAAAGGCGACAGGACAGACTGGTAAAAAGGCGAAGGACAAGACCGCAAGAAAGGCCAAAGGAAAGAAGGGTGAAAATACAACAGACCAGGCGGACGGAGCAGCCAAAGGAAAGACGGGAGGAAAAGCAAAAGAAAAGAAGGGCGGGAAGGCAAAAGGAAACACGGGAGGAACAGCGAAAGAAAAGAAAGCACGAAAGGCGAAAGGAAAGGGGAAAACAAAAGCCAAGAAGTTTACAATGGGTGGAGTGACAGGTCGCCGCGTTCCCTCTCATATTGCAGAAAGGAGAGCAGAACGTATAGCCGAGCTAAGGGTAAGATTAGCATGTCCAAATTACTGATTTTTTAATGAATTAACGAGTCAGGTAAAAGCCATGCATGTCATCAAGGCATTGACAACAATAAATATCAAAGACCAACTTGGTTAGCATGGTTAATTAGGGGCGACGAAACTTGGGTATTTTTCATTATTCAAGGTATGAAAGATTCTAACGTCTAACTCCGCCCCCCAAAATTCACTCATTATGCCCCCCCCCCCATAAAGAAATATTTTGCTCATTATGCCAATGGTCAAAAGTGCCCCCTCACAATCAACTCCCCCTACCGACGATGTATGTGCCTTTCTATGTACGTAAAGCCTTTCATCAAGACATGTATCATACTTTTATTACTTTGAATATCATGAAAAAGAAAATGCACACAAATAATTTACTCACTGAATTTTTTTACATTCATAAAGCTCACTTCACGAAAAGTCGCCTGAACCTACGCAATCACACATACACCCTTAGACATACCAGTCACTCTTTACTACTAGATTTGTGCATCAATGATAAAGACACAATAAATTCTATTTACATGATATTGGTAACTTTTATTTCAGACACTAATTGCGGGGTTAACTGTTGACAGGATGCGGGACGTGCTCCTGGGTGTTGTGGAAAGGGAGAGCGGCCTCGTGCTTGACTTACTTAGCTGTCCCCCCCGCGAAGAGCTGAGACCAAGCCCTCAGCCAGGATGGTGCTCATGTGGCAATTGTAGGCCAATGCAGAGGGATATTGAGGCCCTATGTTGCGGTTTGGAGCCAGAAAATTGCCTTTCTCGATCACAGGTCAGTATTCAGTCAAGACACGATAGGTCTTGTCATTAAAAATCTATATCACCATCCAATTTCAAACCGTAAATAAAAAATTCCATATTGTAAGGTAAATCAATATTTTTTATATGTCTACGCGGTTATTACATGTATCTTCAAAATACAATTTTGTTCAGGCCTACACATTTATTCAAAGCAACTTTCTGTACAAAATAAAACTTGAGGATTTCTGACAATGACAATTTATGTACAACAATATCCAATAAAATAGAAGTTTTACAATGATTTTTTGAACTGCTTCAATGGTTTTACTTAAAAATCAAGAAGAATTGGATGAAAGAAAACCCAGAAGTGAATGAAATCGGCAAAAGTGATGAATAATACGTCTTGAAGTGTAACGCTGCATGAAATTACACTTTCTTTTATTGTCACACTCTTCTTACATTTGCATTGAGAATAAACAGTGTACTACAATTAGTAGGCCTACTTGGGCACCATTTTCATTTTCTCCTGTTTACACGTTTTATTCAAACTTAGTTTTTCAAAACCAAATTTAATTCCTCAACTCTTCTTGCCTCTGAATTGATAATACAATACGTGCAACATGTACTTGGGCACACATTTTCTTTTACTTTTGTTACAATATTTACACATTTACACTATGGCTTTCTACGTTCAACATTACCCAATAAAAAATGAAGTTTGGCAATGAAAATATTTGGAAGAGTTTCACTTCGAAATTGAACTAGACAAATGCGACTTTGCTGCTATATATGCCTCCGCCTCTGACATATGAACTAAACTTCCAATCAGATAGTGATCATGTAATATGCCATGATTTCCTTTACTTTAACACTCTATTTGGATCTGAATGTATGATAAATAGTGCACTCAGGCACCAGTTAATGCAAATAAATAAAGAAGAATGAGAAATCTTTGAAAATTTTACTTTTTACACTATTCATTTCATATCTTCAGGAAATATTACTCAGAAAAATCTAGCTATGTTTGTCACCAATATTATCTTATTCTAAGATATAAAATTAAGGTTTGCTTCTATATACAATAATGTATTCATTGTAAACCAATATTGCATCAAAAACTGCCATGACATACAGAACATAACAATACAGTCCACTCTCATTATTACAAGATGCTCGGGAGCAAGCCAATTACCTTATCATAACAAAATCTTATTATACTGAACAAATAGGCACACACAGGTGCACATGTTTCAGATTTGGACCAGGAGAATTGCCTCTTTATAACAAAACTTATTGCATCAGTGCGCGTTACAACATAAGTAGATTGTATCATGTACACAGAAGCAAAAGTATTTCAGTACCAAATGCATCAGATGACTTATCACAAGTTATTTATTTCTAAATGAAAGTTCCCTCTTTTCTGTTTCTTTGTGCAGTATGTCCTGTCAATGATGGATCCGTTCTTTAATGGGCTTCAGAGGAGAATGTGGCGAAATCTAGAAAACCGGGAGGGAAATGAGCAGGAACCAGGTGCAGAGCACAACAGGATAAGATGGCAGGTCTACAGATCATTTACCTTATGGCAACATGGTAGACTGGGTATAGGTAACCGCGTCGTTGTTCCAAGCTGTGTGGTCTGTCGGGTGAGGGACGAATATCCTGACCCTAACAATCACTACACCGGATTCATCCCTGCAAACTTGTAATGACTGTTCCTAGGTAGAGAAACGGCTCCTCCTCCGGGCTTTCAGATCTTCCATGGGTGGTGGTGGGAAAGGGGCCAATCTTTCTCTGATTCTACGAGGATCGTTGGGGTGAGGGTCCGCGGCACAATAGAGGGGAAGGGTGTCTGTGAGCCTGCGATGAAGAATCTCCTCCATCATGCCCAGGATGTATGAATAAGTCTTGGGGACCTTTACCTCAAAGATCACCCAATCCGCCGAGTGTTTTGACCACTTGGATCTGCACCTGCAGTAAATTAAAAGAGAAGTCATTGTAATTACATGTACATGCGTTGTATTTATTTCAATAAAATAGGTTTTCATACACAAGTACCTCACAAACTTTCTTTCTGCAAGTACTAGAACAGGAATTACATAGCAGCTGAATGGTCGTAAGGTGCTCATGTATGAAAGCATGTCATACTACCGTTGTTATGCCAGTAATGATGGAGGACATTTTATGTCGCTAATTGACCACCTTCTGTTCACTCTATCGTGCTGCCAAACAACTGCCCAATGATCCTAGAAATATTTGTGAGAGACTTGTTCCTATTCCACCACTATATCCACGTCATTGTTATTATATCTTATTACCATTGTTTGTCTTCATATGCTAAGTATACTTTACTTTTCATGCCATATGTCTTGTAACATACATGTTGTAAAGGGAGCAACATTGCCCTTATATAATACATTTCAGAATAAGCGTCTGAGTAAATACCACAATGGTGGATCAATATGTGTATTTTAGTTTTTATAGTGTATCTTTACATGAGTTTATTGTTTCACATTTTCACTTCATGTACTTGAACTTTGCTTACTTCTCATTAGGGGCGCAGGATGAGATTTAAAACTAGTACTTTAAATATTTTCTATTAAATGTTGTTATTTTGTACATAATATTGCCGCTGGAGTGACAAGGTCATGTATCTAAAACTTTGATGACAATCACTTGTTTGCGTTTCCCCAAAATGACTCCACCACAGCATGTCAATGAAAATGCAATCCCATAAGTTACTGCCATGTTGCCACCATTTTTGTGTTTTTGTTTTTCAAAACATTTGGCATTTTTTTAAAGTATTGTCACCTCAATAGTTACGTTTATTCCTATTTTTGGACGTTTTAACTTGCCACCTTGATAACTTACATGCAGTCCAATCCCTTTATAACATGGTGCTCAGCATGGGTACGTAATTATGAACATGTGTCGTGTTTCAAGTTTGGACTTGGAGAACTGCCAAATCATAACACAATCTGTTCTATCCGTGCTTGTTGTAATGGGAGTGGATTATATAACGTATGATTTTGTCTTCTATATTTTTCAGGTAAAAACAGTGATTCTAAATACGTAATTCAGGACTTTTGATGCCCTTTCATCTTGCATATGTAAATAGCATGTTGTATTCATTTCATCAAACACATTCTAATAAAGATTCATTTTTGTTTACTAAGGAACACGTTTGTCTTTTTTGTACTCATTTTGAAAGGTTTTGCATTTCATTTATATTTCAATGTGCAGATACATTCTACAATGGTTAAAGAAATCTTTTCAAAAGTGAATCAAATTTTGCATTGATTAAACATTGTTGACCTGTTAGTAACCATGGTACATGTTCCAGTAAACCCATGATTCAAACTTCCACATAGCATCCTTGTCAATTGATGCCAAAAACTTACTTTGGTTCTCCTTCAGCGTCTAGAGCAATTGGCCTGTCCTTGTGTTTGCTATAGTCAATCATAGCCAGCATATTTCTTGCCCGGTACGCCTGATACCTAAATGTATAACAGATTACACAAAATAAACGCCTTTTAATTATTGAATTGAAACTGTATTGCCTGCTTTTTATTATCACATGGTGGATGATTAAGAATATTCATAGACTTATGCATGTTGGTGTTTAAAATTTCTATATCTTATACTTGAACTAACTTATCAAAATACATACAGAACAAATGACAGTGTAAAACTTCAGAATTAAATGGGTCAAGTTCCACATCCTTATGTTAACTGGAGGGGGGGGGGGGGGTCATTTTGACCCACCCCCTGAACAAAATCCGTGACTGCCACGCAACCTTTGACCTACGTTCTTCAATATCTAATCAGATCTTCTTCCTATAGTGATGCATACTATCCTTAAGTTTGAAGTTCATCTCTCTAGTGGTTCTTGAGATATCGTGATAACGAGCAAACAGGAATGATGGTCAACCCCAAAACAAGATGCCTCCGGCACCACCTCCGATGGCGGAGGCATAAAAATATACAATTCTTACTAACCCGAACGAGAAGCGCTTGCTGCAATACATTAGAATGTGGCTGTGAAGAGATTCCAACTCGCCGGTGTGCCTAGAATAACAGAAAAAAAGGGATAACACTATAACATTTCAATCCGTGCATGAAACAGCAGTAATAAATCAGAATGTTTATATGGCTTGTGATCTTCTATTTACATCTTGTAATGCTGTAACAGAAATGGACTATACACATGTAGTCAAACAAATAAAAGGAGGCATCCAATGCCCTAGTATGCGCAAAATACAATACAGTTCACCCCTGTTATACAAGCACAGATACAAGATAACCTTTTCCTGCTCCTAATCTGAAACTGTCGCATGTAAACCAGGGTCTGCAGTCCAATCCCATCGTAAATAGGTGCTCGGGACAAAAGCATTTACTTTTTTATAACGAAATCTCGCTATAGCAAAGCACAGAGACGCAGGCTCACACAATTGAAATTGGGACTGGGAGAGCTGCCTCCTTATAATAAAATCTTGTATCCACGCCCTTCAGAACAGAAATAGACTGTAAAACTAAACCTAGCATCTCGTTATTACAAAAGTGAAAAAAAAAAAAAAAAATATTGATAAAATAGTACATCAATAAGAAAAAGTGTAAATTGCCAGTCCCTTTTCTCTACGTATCAGTTTTTAATTTTACTATAATAACAAGGTGCCCATTTAAGTTGGTCCCATATGTGTCAAAGTGCGGTTCGTATACTCGGTTGGTATACTGAATAAGCCCAAATTTGTTACTAGGTTGGAAAATTTACATAATTTCACCAATTTTATGATGTTTTCATTACTGTAAATAGCCTCATATTTCAAGTAGAAATAACCTTTTATAGGATAACATGTATGTAACAAAATCTATATCCCTTGTATTACCCTAAAAAACTGCTACAATAAATTTCAGTGATGTTGTACATTACTCAATTTACGCTTACCTGAAATTAATGAACTTGACAAGTGTATTTAGAAATCTCTTGTCAAGTATTATTTTGACCAGAGCATCATGAGCCTTTGTGCCAGACTTCAGCCACTCCTCCTCCTCCCTCTCGTCGATGTCCCCATGCTCGCAGTGTGCAACGCCTCCAAGCCCCCCGGTTATACCCCATTCATGCTGGTTGGTCACATGGTGCACAAGTCCTCGCCATTTGCTCTGTGGA